AATGTTACCATCATCATCAAATTCAGTCTCTGGACGAAACACATTATTACCATCGGTATTAGGTATTGTTACCGTTTCACGTTCCACAGATTTCAGAATGTCTTTTCGATTTCGGCGATATGTGTTTCCAGCATCAGTTTCGACCAGTGTGACCTCGGGGATACTTCCTCACGGACTACATCCTTTGTCGACCATGTACTATCACGACTGTCACGGATCCTCATAGTGTTCCCGCGATCCAAGGGGGGTAACTCGCGAACATTTTTGTCATAATAGAACTTTTGCCTTACTTTATCTGCAAACATTTCCGTTCTAAACTGTTCTGACGACTGTGACTTGACCAACAGTTGACTGTCAACAATCGGCAGATTTGACCTGGCTTTTCTCCCATGGAGAAGTTTATACGGTGATTTTCCATGCTTTTATGGTGTAGTTCTGTACACCAATAAGCTCATGTAGAAAACACTTCTATCCTCTCTCGATTTCTTGAGAAAACTTTTCACAATGCCCACACTTTTCGCAGCCAGTCCATTTGACAGTGGGAAGTTGGGACTGGATGTAGTATGCTTGAAATCATAATTCCTCGCAAACTCTCGAAACTCAGTTTACGTAAACTGGGGACCGTTGTCATTTTGACTTCTTTGGGGACTCACTGACCAGTAAACGTGTATTTCATGGCCTTAACAACCGACAAAGCATTCAAGCTTTGTAAGGGACACACTTCTGGATAGTTTGAATAACAGTCACATATCACCAGAAAATTGTCACCTTGAAGCGTACAAATATCAACGCCGACCTTTCCCCAAGGATACTCCACCACAGGATGAGGGTTTAAAGGCTCTGTTGCCTGTTTTGACCGGTATTTCGAACACGTTGAGCATATCTGCACCATTTCCTCAATATTGTGCATTACGAAGTCTACGTAAGCATCAACTTCCACCTCACCAGAACGATCCTGCAGAGTTTTTGTCGACTGACTCGTACGCGCGCGACAAAGCATCTGAAGTATACAGTAAAACACGTTTATAACGAACGAACACGCTTACAACGAATTAATGTCTATAACGTAGCAGCTTTTGGGTCCGCTCTGGTGAATATCAGTGCTAATTAAGAACCATATAACGTAGTGGCCTCGGGCAGTCGTCACACCTGAGTGAAGTCAGCCGTGTGTCCTGTATTGACACCCGCGTCCAGGTAAGTTTCCATTACGTACAGGTAAGATTGACGAATAAAGTGAGTTGTTGTTATACGTACCTGCGTACTATTGTTTTTTGAGTTTTGAGTTACTGAACTGATTTGATACTGATTCCTCAGTAAAGTGGTCTTAGTAGACAGATCTGGTATGTAACGACTCTAATAGTTTATCATTCCTAAGAACCGTTGAACATCTTTCTTACACTCGGATGCTTTGAAGCTTTGGATTGCTCGGAATTTCATTGGGTCTGGTTTCATTCATTTTGCAGACACGACATCTCCTATGAACGTTAATGAATGTACACCACAGACACATTTCTCCTTGTTGAGTTTAAGATTTGACTCTCGGGTAGCCTCTAGGACTTTGCGTAGTCTCTGCTTGTGCTCTTCCAGAGTACTTCCCCATATGATGATATCATCCATGATCGATGAAGCTCCTTCGACGTGCTCAAATATCATATGGATTGCCTTGTGGTATACCTCTGGAGCTGAGGATATTCCGAATGGTAACCGTAGAAACCTACACCTGCCGAATGGTGTATTAATACAGGTTAGCTTTGATGAGTCAGAATCCCATTTCATTTGCCAGAATCCGGATGAAGCGTCGAGCTTACTGAAATATTTCGCATTTTTGAACTTTGACACAATTTCTTCTCTGGTTGGAAGCTTATAATGTTCTCTTAATATTGCGCGATTCATGTCCCTGGGGTCAAGACATATACGCTGTTGACCGTTTTTCTTCTCGACGACAATTAGAGATGATCCAGGGTGTAGGATCATTCTCCTTACACCTGACCTCCAGTTGCTCCATACCTTCAAGCTCTGCCTTAACCCTGTCCTGAATGGCAAATGGGACCTTGCGACATGGGTGTACCACTGGTGCAACTGATGAATTGACTTGAATACTGTACTATCCTGGTAGACATCCGAGCCCTTCAAATACATCAGAAAACTTCTGTACAATACTTTCTGCTGACTGTGCAGGTTTGTCAATGATTTACACGCGCTTAACATAAGCAACTTCCCTGCCTCGACATCCGCTTCCTGCGCCTCATTGTTCATCCTACAAGGTTCAATCCCAACATCGCTTCCTGATGACTGGAATCTTTGACTTTGCAGTCACCGATAAAATTCCCAATCAGTACTCGCTCTATAAACAAGTTCAGCTTGAAGTTCCATATATGTTATGTCAGGAAAACTAACATGAATATTTTCGGTTTATAGACATTCAACCAAAAATCAAAGTGTTGAAGTTTAATATCCATAGTAATGTTATAATATGTGTTAATGAAATGCATTGGTTTCGAATCATGTTATCCATTTTGTTTGTACGAAAACGGAAAAATATTCAAATCATGTCTACCATTAAAAAAAGATCAACAAACTTGTCAACAGAATCATAATTCAAATACAAATTTGATGAAACTAGGGTAAACTGTTACCAGAAGTGACGTTTACAAGGACACCCCTGATATAGTAATTGAGTAAAGATTAAGACTAGGTCTTAGGAAAGGGTAATCGTTTTCCGCTGCCTTGATGGCATCATTCATGCAAATCCTTTATCTTGTCCAAAAAAGGAAAGGTTGTACTATTTCACTGCTCCTGCAGTGTTTTTCTGTCATTTCGAGGTTGCGTACATATAAAAACATTAATGGTTCACGTTTTATTTTTGCTTAAACCCGGCACAGCATAAAAGTACATTTGATCAAAATAACATTGCATTGCTGAAGGAATGAGATCCATTATCTAATAACAATAGTGAAATGGTCCCTATTTCAATGGATTTAAATTGAGTAATATATTAGCAAAATAAATATTTGCATGGATACCATTGAAAACTTTAAAGTAAAATAGATATTTTCCCGTAAAGTATAGCCGCCTTTTGCTTCATCGGAAACACCCAATTTTGGTCAATCAAATTAAATTATATCAAGCTTCTAAACGAAATATTTAGCAACAATGGGTTGGTTTGATTAGGATTCATTTTGTTAATCTTCCTTTCAGTAACAATAGCTAATTTGTCATCTAGATGAATGAGTAAGGTTGTGTGTATCTTTGATTTACCCTCCTTGTGATAGTGCTTAACTGATGCCGGCTGTTTTTGTTCTACCTTACTGAAGTACAGTATAATATCGAATGCCCATGCATGGCATCCCAGCCTGCCACATTTTTCCGATAAAACACTAACCATCCGTTACACTACAACAAGAATAGGCGAAAAGCAGGAGGTACTCACTACCACCGTTTGTGCGTTGACAAATGGACCAAAAGTCAAACCTTCCTCATAAGAGTGAACGATCCATAAACGTTTTTGTTACTATGTAAAACAAGACATTATTGTTGAAACATTCTGGTTACCGAACAAATGTTTTGAACTGTCATTATCAAATACATAAACATTTGACTACCTAAGAAAGACTTTCTTGGGTAGAGAATGAAATATTGATTTTTCAAATAGCATTCTGTCCACTATCATTTGTCCTTTCAAATAGCTTGTCGGCTCAGTTGTATTTCGTTCAGACGTGGTACAAATTATTTGTTTTAGTTTAACTTAACACGAATAACTGTCACGATTGATATACAAATGCTAACTGAACCTTTTCTGATTGGTCGATATTTTCTTCTTATTATTGAATAGATTTATATTTTCAAAACGTAATAAAAATGTGTAAGGTTGGAAGTAACTGGAAGAATAAATGAACTATGATACATTATTTATCAGTAGTTATTGACTATATGGGGATCATAAAATTATAATAAATAAATTAACTATGCAAAAAGCAGCAATATCTCTTTCATCTATTATGCATTAGAGAGTGTAGTTTTCCAGCGGCGCTCTGATCGTATAGCCCTGGTCTGCGATTGGTCAGGTGTAATCGGTACGATTTTAACTATTGTGATGACAGGTGGATATTGTTGCGTGCTGCAAAATCAACAAACAAAATATCGACGATAGAAGTTAAAATGCGATTAAAAATGAGTGACGAATAATGACAAAAATTATCCATCCCTCTCCGCCTTACATCAGGACAAGGGTCTATGTGTTTTGTTCAAGAATCTATATATGATTACATACGGTGGTAAATAATTGCAAATACAGAGTGTAAATATGGTCTTCTGATATCGTAATAACTAGCAAAAATAGATGTAGTCTTCAAAACCATATCTTACTATCGGAAACTATACTATTTGTATACTTTTATTAAGGTGATAATTTCTTAAATAAACAGTCACTTATTCAAATATACTTCGTGAACTTCTAACAAACCTATATATGCTGCACTATCCACCAGGTTGCCAAGCAGTAACATCAATATATTTTTAAAAACGCTCAATAGTCCATTGCATAATGACCTTTATGTATACATATAAATATTATATACATAGTACATTGTTTATGTACGTGTTGACAATGCTTGCTTACACAATGAAATACACTAAATGGTGGTCGGCATTACCCCTTGGAGTCCTATATAGCATAAAAACATCATAACTTAACGACACTTGTATTACCATGTTTCTGTTTAGAAGGACGGTTTGCTAGTTCTTCATGTTTTAAAGAACAATAGTCATAGGTTTACACGCATTGAAGTCGGAACAAAACAAATTTTGTCGTTATTATGAAGATAATTATTCAAAACAAACAACACAATGTGAACATGTCTACGATAACAAGGTAATGTCCTGTATTATTTTCACTGCTGAGCATTAAGGATTTAAACAAACGGCAGTACTGTGTCAGCCATACCATAAGTTTTCGTGTTTAAGAGGGAAAACTGATTTGTGAGGCATTTTGGAAATCCATCATGGCCCCTTGGGATTTGTTGGCACTTACATTCATCTTGATGTTTCACACCCAAGATGTGTTTTGTCAAACCTCAGATGACGTGAAAAGTCTGCTAACGCAAATATTAACGACTGACTCTTATAACAAATTTGTTCGTCCAAGCGATAACCATTCCTTACCGACGAACGTATATTGCAGTATGTTTTTAGTCAGTATAACGGACATAGATGAAGTAAAAGAGAAAATGACAACCACAGCATATCTAGAATTGGTCTGGGACGATACGTATTTTGTATGGACGCCGGGAAATTATAACGGTATTAATTACGTATATATACCTCAGAGTGAAATATGGAAACCGGATATCGCTCTTAAAAATGGTTTCACCAAAATGAAAGAGTTAGGAGATAAATTCATTTTGGCGTATGTCTACTTCGATGGAGAGGTATATTGGTACCCTTATGAAGTTTTTGAAACAAAGTGCAGTATTGATATTTCCTACTTTCCCTTCGATGAACAGATATGCGACATCAAGCTTGGAGTATGGTCAAGCACGCACCATGAAATAAGTGTACAAATGGGGGAAAGAGGTATGATTCTTGACGAATACCAGGAGAATGGAGAATGGCACATTGTGAAAACACAAGCAGAAACTTTCCTCAATGACGTTGGTGAATCACAAGTTGTGTTTAAAATTCATGTTAAGAGGAAACCGGAGTACCACCTTTACAATATGGTACTTCCAGTGATCCTTCTCTCCCTGTTAGCCGTCTTTACGTTCGTTATACCAGTTGACAGCGGGGAGAAGATGGGCTTTTGTATGACCATGTTCTTGGCGTTTGCTGTTTTTCTGACCATCGTTGGCGCACAACTCCCTGCAAGTTCCACTCAGTCTTTACTCAGTAAATACTTAATATTTCTGGTTGTCATTGGAACTCTAATCATCATGTTTACAGCAATCGAACTTCGTATCAACTATAGAAATACCGAATCCTTCCCGATTCCGACATGGCTAAAACTTCTAGTAAAAACCAGCAGGATCATACATTGCAGACAGCCATGCTCGATATCCAGAAACAAGAAATCCACAATCGCACCATCGTCCATACAAGTTACAAAAGTGTCAACTCTAGATTCTGAAGATCCGGAACAACTTGGAAAAGACATTCCAGACCAATCACACAGCTATGAGGATTCGTCTGATAACATTGAATGGACAGATGTAGTCTCGGCGTTAGATTTTTATTTCTTTTGGCTTTTTCTAATTACAGACATACTAGGTACTATTATCATGCTGGCAAGTGGCTATGCACTCAGCAAAAAGTAATTAACTCGCGAAGACGAACGCAAAGTTAAGTAGAAATGTGATTTAATTAACGCTTTATCTCGTACTTTTCCTTACCCACCCTACCTAACCCTAACTACAGAAGACTAATTGGGATAAATTGTTTGGACAGAAATATATGTTTACAAATGCAAAAGGTAGCAGGTAAATAGTTTTTATACATACTCTACATACATCACTATTAACATTACCTATATCCAGCATGTTCATAATACTTGTGTTTTAAGGAGAGATAAAAGAAAATTTCTACAATAGCTCACCATGATTAATAAAACATCTTCTTTATAAAGTATCTTAGCGATGTGAGTACAAGATGATAACAAATTGTACAAAAACACATGTTTAGAGTAAGATATAGTAAGGCCAAATAATGGATTGAACTAAATTATACAGCTGTATACTAGTCAGTTGTATATATGTATTGTTTAATGACAATGTAATAATTTCTTATACATTGTATTATTATTGTAATTAATTAACATATGAGATTGTGAATTAATCTATGTTGCTGTAGCAATGATTTTGCTTGTTTCTGAACACTGTGAATTGTACTAAATATTGCAGCATGCAATTCACTTCGTTTATGTATTGTACTATGTAATCGATATCTCGCCGTATCATTGATTTTTCTTTGAAGTCGATATACTGATTAAGTCATTGATTTTTTTACACAATGTAATCGATATTGCGTCCTGTCATTTTGTTATTTCTGTGTTATCGATATTGCGCAACTTAAATGATTTTTGTACTACATATGTATGTAATCGATATCGCGTCATATCATTGATTTTTTAACAATGTTATCGACATTGCGCAATATCTTTGATCACCGTTTTGATTTTTTTTGTTTTTGAACTGAATTGCACATCAGTCTATAAATATTTTTTTTATATATGTATATTTTTTCAATGGGTTCAAGTTTTTGCTATTTTCGTGACTGAAATAGAATGTCGAAAGTAATATCGTTTAAAACATTAATAAATAAATGTTACTGTGATCCTTGTACAACAAACTTATTTCAATATACATAATAATGTGACGAGGGACATGATCCGTAACAACAAGTACATCAATAGTGTAACGCTTATTTCGACAGGCCTTCCGTTTCAGTAATAATAGTCACTGTGTAATTATATTGAGTCATGAGAACCTTACCCCGTTTTCTTACATTGTATTTTTGTAAGTATTCCATAATAATGTGTATATTGTTGTTTTCGATTTCTTTCAAATATTTGAAAATTTTTAAAGTAGTGATAGAAAATTTCACTTTATCTATAGTTTTGTCAGTGAATTTAAATGTTTGCCATTTGCCTGTCATTTGAATACAATAGTTTATAATGACGTCGTAGTTATGAAACACAACGTTCCCTTTCCCCATTTAAAATTATGAATTGTAGCAATGTTTTATGCTTTATGTGTTACGGGTGTCATGGGAGACACCTGCCGCCAAGGTCAGATGTATACAGGTGTCCTGGGAGACACCAAAACCTGGGCTCATTTCAATATTGGCTTCAAGGACTGAGGAACACAAAAACGTAATAATTAGATATAGCCATGGGACAGCATATCAAATATGTTCTTTTAAATGTCCTCTTAAACGATTAATAAAAAGAAAAACACTAGTAGAATACTCATTGGATCGATAATTGTTATGATCAGGATTTACGTGGCGGTTGTCGTCTATGAAACAGCAGATGCTTAACCTTGCAGACAACCTTGGCCTTTATCATGTGTTTTGTTGTATTTTTTTTGCACCAGTTTTACTAAACATTGAATAAGGATTAGGGTTATGTTCACATGTTAGTATTTTCTTGCTGCATTCTATCGACATGACATTACATTATGAATTGCAAAGTTGACGCAATCAAATGGCACAATACCATGAAATGAAAACGCGTTTGAAATCATATATAGATGTATACAAACATATATAAGTATCGGCCTGCCGAATGCAGTTTATTTCATTTTCGACAACATTTCGGAGCAGTTCACGAGGCGATTACTGTACTCATATATAATTATAAAAGTGTCATGCATTGTATTTGCGACGGTGTTGTCGACAATGCCCTTTAAATAATGGGTAAACCGTTATGTGACTAAAACAGACTTATATATACATTGCTGTCAAAAGTAACAAAAAGATAATAATATTGCCATAGTATACAAACACATTACAAGACAAATGTTAATTGCCTCCTGATAATCAATGCAATTAGAAGTGACGTACCTGCCACAGTGTTGTTCGTGACGCATTGCGTTTAAAAACATCTTTTAAAACTTAAAGTCCTTGGACTTTCATAAGATAACTGATATAATAACAGCCATCTTAAAAGTCTTCTTAATTGGGAAATAGTGGTATTGTATGCTATCAACTTTCATGAAATATGATCAGCGCTTTATTGTAAGACATTTTACTATTTAAAAATCGGAATAAATGTCAAATTGTCAAAAAGCTTCGTTTGCTTACTTAAGAACTTTCGTTCCAGTTGTACTGAGCTCATAAAATGTTTTCAATAGGTAAAAACAATTAACGATTTCAGAAATTGGAAGGTTCTATTAACCTAATAATTCCCATAACCGCTAATTTGAATTCAAACAAATAAAAAAAAAAAAGAGTAATCAATAAGCTATGTGCTTGTCATTCTGTATGCTCTAAGGATGATGTCGAGTACATGAAATAATTCAGTTCACTGGTATGTTCAGTCTTCGGTGTTTTTGAAAGCAAAAATGATGCGTTATTTCTGTGAGTTACTATGTATTTGAACTTGTTTTCTGTCAAAATATATGTATTTCTATAACATTCAAGGATAGATGTGTAAGATATTGAACCCGACGCAGCGACAAAAAGTATCATTCGATATTCGAACTCTTTGATGTTAATCTAATCAATGAAGACCACCAATTTGTAACATTTGCACAGAGGAGTATGAAATGGTATGATTGAAAATGAATATTGAGAAAAACTTTGACGATTATGGCTTATAGTATTACAACTTTCTGGATTAATTTATTTGTCTAAGCTTGAAATTCATTACATCAACACGGTAATTGCTCAATCCCTAAATCATTTCATGCTACAAATACGACAGAAATCATAACAATTCTATGGAGTATTATACAAATGTTTATCGATCAAAGGAGAAAAACACAGTGGTTGGTATTGGTACTACTGAAATCATTCGGATATAATAGGATTTTAATGTAAAATGATATTTCTTTCTTTTGGTTTTATGTTTGAAAATCATAACGACTGCTTTGGAAATAGTTGTGTTTAAACAACGTCTTGAAAACATTTCAGCAATACGTTTGTTTATGTAACAATTAAGTAATGTTAAGATATATGTTTTTATCTTTTCATGCCGTGCTGTTGGTCGCAGTTGCACTTATCATGAAATATCAGGTATGAAATATATCCTTGTACAATGAGAGTAAATAACGTTGGATGGTGCTGATTGTTCAACATAACTTTGGAGTCGGTGTCCATGTTTTACATGATATGTTCCTATTAGTAAACAAAGTATCATTCCAATGATGGGCAAATAAAAATATAATTGATAATCTAAACATTATGCGGCAAACAATTGTACAATTTAGCTGTTTGACGCCTATATGAGAACAAATGCTAGGACCATACTTTGTACAAATGTAAAGGGCTACATAAGGCAGACAAACTATGAATTGATCAAAATAAAGTATTGATAAATTTCAACAAATTTAGTAAATGCTCAACATCGAAATGCATATCCTAAACGGGCCTCTATTCATGTGTAAGTTGTGAGAACTTGTGTCTGACCATTTTGGTTAGTTTTGATAACTAATCTCATACGTGGTTACTGAATATTCGGATGAAGACGAATAACCAACTTTACCATCTGGCAATTTCACGCGCAGCACGATTGAAATATTAAAGATATTAAACACTCAAGTGAAATATATTTATTTTCATTGAGAAAATTATTGAATATTTGATCAATTACATTTTCACATGCAAAATAGCCAACTAACTGGCATAATTAAGGACAAATAAAGAAGGAGGGAACCGACTATGCTTTTTTATCGATACTACTATCTCATTCATTTATTCACTGAAAATATTTAAACTAAAAAAAACATTTGAAAGTATTTTTTTATGTATTCACATAAAAATGTTACTTATTTATGTCACTTATGGACAAGGAATGCAGTAAAACGTTCAGAAAGCGATTAGCTTCTAACAGATTACTATGCAACTGATAGTTGTCGTTGTGGATGACACGAATTTTTTTAATTGTCTAGCTCTACTCTCAAGACGTTCGGTTAGGGATTGGGTTTGACCTATATGATAAGATAATTTGAGTTACTGACTTGTAATGTCATTGTTTGCTGACTTCCATGGAAATGAAAGTTCACCAGGGAATAGAAGATAGTGTTGATTTTGGTGTTGATTAAACATTAGTAAGGCTAGTACATTAACAAGTGAATACCCTGATGAGCAAGGCAACACCGCTTCGATAATCAGTTCAAATATTAACAAAAGAATTATCAATTGTATACGAGTTTAAATGCCATTGATGAATGGGTGTCAAAGGTCCCGTTCTACTGTTACTTCAACGGTAATAAAGGTTAAAAACTGTAGCTAAATCGTGACGTTTTGTCAGAGAGCATTGTTATCCTACGATTGTTATTCTCCAGAATGTACGGTGTATCGTTAGCATACTGTACAGAACCCCATAAAATACATTTTCACATTAAAAAACTTAGTTTTAATTTGTGACCTTTTTTGTACTACTGGTGGTATTAATTATATTAAGTTGTGAGTGCAGGTGATGAAATGGTGTGTTTTTTGTTTACTCTCGACACCATTATATATAAAAGAAATTTTAAAAATATCCGAACAAATTTTGTTATCCGTATATATCTGAAATGGTCATTCCTTCAATGAAATTTTATTGACAAATATGTTTGCAGATGATGATTACTTTATTCCTGAAAGTCATAACTAG